TATAAATGCATTAATTAATAGAGAATATAGATAACATATATAAATATGTGGGAACATATTAACACACATGCACATACACATAAACAAAATAAATAAGTATGTGTAATAGTTATAATACATTAATTGTATTGACTGTTATGTTATTCAATAACATATATATGAAAATTACTTTTCGATATTTTGACAATTTTTTCAAATATGATTTCATTTGTTGCGCGTACAGATCTACACACATAAAATTACACGCACACACAGATATAGACACAATTTAAAAACTAGGAAAACACAAAGATAATGTATATAATATTTGACAGTAGTTACGTAAAATAATAATAATAATAATAATAATAATAATAATAGTAATATTAAGTGTTTGCAAAAATGTTCATTTTTTCATTTTTTCACTTTAAAAAGTGATTTATTGAGACAAATTGGTAAAATGCACAATAATTAAAATATTTTCCCCGCCATTTTCTACACCATTTTTGATCATATTTCTGACAATTTTTGGCATGGCGATACCGTGTCGAAAGAACTTATATTTGTTTGGCGGCGATCAACCCACCAATCTATTTTCGCGCCTCTTCCAATTTGTGGTCCCATATGCTAGCCAAGCCGCGCTGCATCGATCTGAATAACTGGTAGTCGGAAGACGTCATGTCTCATGAGCATGCTGGATAGGGCAAAAGTTTCTACTCGAGCTGCAACAATGTGTCGTAGACAAACCTTGCAACAAGTGCCTAAAAAATGGCATTTACAGTCATAAGCCTTTGAACGTGTTTGGGTGAAGCAACAAGTGGGCAAAATTGGCCGTTAAAACCAAAACCGCGAATTAGGATATGATGGAGCAGCACCTCCTCTGACTGTGTTTAATGGGCTTCGACAGCAGATTTTTTCAAATAAACAAGAAAAATAATGAATTTGGCAGGTGAAGAATTTTGAGCGCTCCATGATTACCGTCAGCGTAAGCTGAGTAAATCAATAATATTAAATGGACCCGTTATTTTAGGCAGAGGAAAATCAAAATCATCGAATTCAAGTGCTATGTACCCTGGTATTTCCCATTTCTTTATCATTTTTATTTGTAGAAATCGCTGATCAAAATTTTTGCAAACACCAAGTAATGATAATAATAATAATAATAATAATAACAAATTCAAATAAGTAGTTTTGTCATATTAAATAAGAACAATTCAGGTGGATGACTACATATGTATGAAAAGAATTGTTTTAAAAAAATGGCCGAACAATTTTTCTAAAATCATTTCAAATCAAAATATTTGCCCACCCATACCAGCAGTTTGTTTGTATATTTTAATTCTAAAGTAAAACTTATCTCTCTTATAGCATTATGCTTTAAGGTCACCCCATAGTAACATTAGTCGGCCTATTAAAAACTCTTAGCTTTTTTTTTTTTTTCAATTTATTGCCACAACAACCAACCAATGCTATAACTCTTAACTTTTCTGGTTTTGCTACACGTCTATCGTAAACGTCCGCAAATAGTCGATTTACAAAAATCGACGGACATAGGTATATGTACTGATGCTGTGATCGGTTCCTAGCCATAAAAGAAAACAATGTATTTTCTTGTTATAGAGAGTCTTTGACTTTATTGATCGGTATTGATATCGATGATAGATATAGAATAAAAAAACGACGCCAATAACAATTTTCTTATAAAGCGAAATTGTTCAAAATTCCTCATGCCACAAACCAAAAAATTCCTTGTAATCTGTGTTGAGTTAATTGCGGTAAATATCTTAAAAATTGAATAATTGATTGAATGGTTTTGTAATAAAAATTATCAGATACCTTGATAACGTTTTTAAATTAAAAAGACGCACAGCTTCATTATTAAAAAGTAAATGTGGAAAAGTTTGAGCCGCCGAGAGAAACTGGATAATAAATTCAAAAATAGCAAATGAAAGTTCATCGGATTCTTATCTAATCAATATTTATTCGACATTTATTTGGTATTAAAGCACTATAGTGGGCCACAGCCCACCACCAAATACCGTACATCATCTCGCTTAATACGGTTTTATTCATACGGCGACCTTACCAAATATGGTATTATATAGGAACTGCTCGAAAAAGTGGTCCGATCTGAACCATTATCGATAGCGTTTGTCCTTAAGTGAAAACATGTAAGTTTACCAAATTTCATCAAAATATCTCAAAAATTGCGATCTGCAAGTTGATTATAAAAAAACTACACGGACGAACGGACAAACGAGCAGATAAGCTGAAATCGAAACAAAATGGCGACCTGCAGATTGGACATAGACGAACAGAGAAGCTTAGATCAACTCAGAAAATAATTCTGAATTGATTGGCATAATATAAGTTGGATCTATCTCAAGTTCTTCTGAATGTTGTCTATATCCGCACAAACTCACCACAAACTTACACAAGAAGTGGTATAGGACATCGAAACGAGAAGATTTATTCATATTCGGGATTTCCCATATGAGAGCATATAATTTCTGTCCATATAAAAATTTGCTTCATATTTTTTTACAAAGAAAGTGAAAGTTCGGCAACCCCATCGAATAATTTTTGATTTCCGTGCTTTATCTGGACGTGCATTTCACACATCAAGGCAATCGAAAAATCAAAATTGAAGGAGATATTCGTACGGTAAGTTCGAGAAGTGCAGTTTCGAAATGGTTTTGGACGCTTCTATTCTATTCCTTATATTAGTACCGTTTATTATACCCATCACCGACGCATAATCGATATACCCATTTTGTCGAGACGTTTGCAAAGCCCAGAAGGAAACTTCAGAGACCGCACAGTGTAAATATATTCTTGATCAGCATCAAATTCTGAATCGATTTAGACATGTCCGTCCGTCCTTCTGTGGTGGCAAAAATAAAGCTATTAACTTCACTTTGGCACAAACATTGGAAGGGTTGGTTTTGAAAGTGAGTGCACGCCCACAACACAGCATAAATTATTTTTTAAAAGAAATAAAAGGTGATTTCTTTGCTCGTTACTTATAAACTGTAGCAGATAAATGTACAAAAATTTGGACGTATATTCTATGGGCGATGCTAGAGAAATGGGAAAAATTGGCCACTTCTAGTCAATAGTCCAGTCAAATAGTGTATCAAAATTTAATTTTTTTTCAATACCATAATGAGGCGCAGGAACAAGTTTCAAAAGCACGGTAAAGTATATAAATTCATGGGCGCTTTCAAATTTGGAGTGCACTTAAGCAAGTCCATCTATTCATTTGCCCATTTGTCCGTCGTGGCAATTGTGTAGTATTGTGTGGTAAAAATTGCCCTGTTAGCGAAAATTGACATATCACCAAGAGATTTGTAAAAGTATTTGCAAATGAACTAAACTTTTCAAAGGACATGCGTGAAATCGAATCAAAATCTGATGACTCTACAAAACTAACCTTAACTTTGTTAAATTTCACATCTACAATATGGAAAATATCGATCGATCCAAATTTAGTTCACGTACTTATGTCCTTTCTTGTTTAACAGAACCGACAGATAATATTACGATTTGAAATGATGGAAATATATATGATTCGCTTTAAGGCAACTGCAACTATTTTTCCCAAATACTTAAAAACGACTCAACAACTAAAAGTGGGCAACAAAAAAAATAAAAATAAAAAAAAAAAATGTGTTTTGTTAATGAACGTAAACCGTCTGTAAATATAGTATTTGCATGTAGATGTGATAATGTTAGTGTAACTATTAAATAAAAAAATAAAAAAAATAAAAATTTAATAAATAAATAAATAAATACAAAATAAACAAATTAGAAAACTGAAGTGGAACTGATTTAAAAGTCTCATTCGTTCGTTATATTAAAAATATTAATTAAATCGAAAGAAAAAAAAAAAAAATAAAATAAATAAATCAATAATGATAACAATAAAAATAATAATAATAATAATAATAATAAATACAACTATCACAGATTTGGCTCAATAAAAATTATCATTAAATATTGCAGGTAGATGAGAAGACCTAATTATAGATGCAGTGTAAGAAAAATACGAATGTATTCGAATTTCATAATCGACTGTAACGTTCTATATGATTTATACGCATTTATATACTATACATACACAGATACATATATTTGCAAAGACAAACACTTATGCATACTTAGGAGAGAATTTCTTTAGAATAAGTAATTGTGTAACTTTTGTGTTTATGTTAATTTAAGAGAGAAAAAAAAAAAAATTTGTAATCGAACTAAAAAACTGAAAATCATGAATAAAGATGAAACTTCCCAGAAATTTCCAAAACCAAGTTACAATCTGCATTTAACGGAAACTTATTACTTATTTACCAATGCCTTTAATTAAAATCAATAAAAAAAAAAAAAAATATTGCATTATGTATAATAAGTTTTCTTCTTTTTTTTTAACACGTCGATTCTTACAAAGAAGAAGAAGAAGAAGAAGGAAAAGAAAAAGAGGAAAGAGAAAAAAATGGGAAGATGGAAATGGCTGTGTGCCCGACCGGTAAGTGTTATGCTTTTAATGGCTGAGCACTTCACACTACAACTACGCCCAAAGGAAACTCTACCGCGTTTGAGATTTAAACGCACGAACAAGGCTCTTGCCTACTTGCCTCCTCAGGCGAATATAATAAATACGAAAACTTTATGCGGCTGCGGTCAAATTGTCTTCACCCACCCATCAGCTAGAACTCAAGAAGAAAAAAAGAAAAACTCGAAGAAAATAAAACAAGTAAGGAAACTAAATTTGGTCGTGACCGAATCTTTTACACTTAAAAAAGGACTAAAAAAGAAAGGAAAAGACTTAAACATTTACATTCTATAAACATGAGTCGACGCGGTGAACTTTTTCTATTTTCAAAACAAAAGTAGAGATTTTTACGGTCTATGGGTCGTATTTTATGAATACAACAATAAGTAAAAAAACAGGGAAAGCAATAATGTTCACAGTTTTTGTTACAAAAGCTTTGTGAATATTGTAGGCGCATTCTTTGAACTGTTTGGATCATTTTCAAATTCTTTCGCAGGTTTCTAAACACTATCTTCATTTTTGCGAACGGGACAATGTTTACCACACATACCATACAGTTGCATATACGGACACATGAACGAATGAATGTACAAACATGCTTAGGTGCATTCCGAAATTGAAACTGACCAAAAATTTATATATCTTCGGGGGTTTTGAAATTTTGCTTTTATGCTTTAAAAAAGTTAAAAAAAAAAAGGATGAGTTTTTGATACAATATAAAATTGAGTAGGTGTGCCCGATTTTTTTCATTTTTATGCAGCGTTGCCCATAGAATATAGGGTCGAATTTTTGCAGTATTATCTGCCGTGGTTTATAAGCAATGAGCAAAATATCAATTTTTTATTCCTTTGAAAAAACAGAGATGCCTCCAGTTTACGTAGTATTTTGGGCGTGTTCTTCGACCGATCCGACCCATTTTCTATACTCAGCGGCGTGCGAGAGCTTTGAAAGCTTGAGCTGGGCTTTCGTCTAATATGTCTTGCAATTTATTGTCTTTGAACTTTTTTGTCTTCCGGTTCGTTCCCTGTCATTAACATCAATATACGCACTTTTAGACCGCTGCAACCAAAATCGACAATTGGACTATGATGGAACAGCATCACCGTAAGTTTCTAAAAGTGTCCGAAATGCTTCGGCAGCAAATTCCTTCATACTAACACAATACAAATAATGAATGTCTGTATAATTGAGAATTCTTAGAATGCAGAAGAGCTAGTTGCTCTACGAGATAAACCGAAAATATTATGTCCGGGCAAACACTATATAGAATGCGCTACAAAATATAAAAAATGCTCTAGATATGTAAAACACATCAGACATTCCAAGCGGGAGTCTACGCAATCTATCCGCATGTGCTTCCGAACCCCTAAGAAGGCAATGCAGTAGACAGATAATCTGCATTTATTCCGACAGTCAAGCTGCCATAAAGCCCTTAAAGCATCGAATGAACATCTGGGCTTGTATTGGAGGGCCTTTAAATATTCAGTGAGCTAGGCTAGCACAATGACGTGCCTATCCATTCGGGTATTGAGGACAACGAACGGGTCCGAGGTACTATGATAGGTCCTTTTCCTTTCTGTACCGTAGCAAGAAATCATATTAATAAGCTGATATCGCAATGGGCACAGAAAAAATCGTAGTGTGATTGGAAGCAATGTGCAGGACAACGGCAAGCAAAAAGATTTATAAAATCTTTCAACTTAGCACATAAACTATTGGAACTAAGAAGCGACTTACGCTTAGTTACAGGCTTTTAGACGAGTCACAATTCCCTCAAGTACCGTCTAGAAAACTTGGGTGTCTTCGTTAATGATTGATGCAGCGTCTGCTAACAAACGAGTAAAACGTCCCATCAAATTTTATGTGAATGAGAAGCTATCTGCAGAATGAGGCACTATGTGTTTGGCGAGCATTTTATAACGCCGGACACGGTATGGTGCCCGGAACCAAAGAAGGTGGCAGGATTCATAAGAATTCGAAAACTGAGGGCTAGTGGCATGGGCGGATGCAATAGACCTTTTAGGTCGTTGTACGGATTGTCCACACAATTTTACATATACCATTTGGCATAGCATGAATCATTTTTAAATATACTTTATCGGAAGTGTTACCGCTCATGAGTCTATAAAGTTTCTCGACTTCCCAGCAATTAAGGGCCGCCTCTGATAGCAGTTTAAAGTTAAACGCGGGATTTATTTTATAAAAAATGTGAATCGTCTTGGCGCGAACAATTTCTTTAAATTCTTCGTTTGGTTTGGTGCGTTTGAAAGACGGGTTTTCGAATTACCCGAATTGATTCACTGGAAGTGTATTTGATGGACAAAATTGTACCATAAAATTGAGCATTGCTCATTAGCTTTTTCATGCAAAAATAAGTAAAAAAATTCAAATTCGACCGGGAACGAATGTCAATAATAGTGGAGGAGACTTCCTCCAAGACTCCACCACGCTTTACCATCGAGTTGCTAGACACATTATGCCCGACCGAACCCCCAATGACATATATATCATAGCAATTGTTGTAATAGAGAGCAAGTTTTTGTTGACAAACAATCCTCACATAAGTAAGATTGGCACTTTGCATCATCGTAGATATCGATTCATTATTAACAACATTCCAGAGAGGGATTGAATTTATCTTATCAAAAATATGACGGAATTTTTGATAATAAAATATAATAGCTAGATGAGACAATACCGCTGACAGACGTAACTTTCTAAAAGAAGAAGGAATGATTCATTATCTTTAACCTTATTTAAGTTCTTAGCGGCACAAAAATGAATTCTTTCGGAGCCATCTTCCGGGCCATCGAAGATATGTCGGAGAGTTGAGGGTGTCCAATCCAATGCCACGTTTTAAAATTCTATTTTCGAATGTCTTCATACGAGTGCTAGTCGTGAGTTTGATAATTTTAATTGACGTGCGGCTTGACAGCCTTTGACGGCTCTCTCGTAACCGCTCTAGAAGAGTTAAACAATCATTTAATATGTGGCAAAAAATATTGTTTTTTTTTTTTTTTGTTAGCGTTAAAATATAAATAAGATCGGCACTTGAATCAAAAAAAAAAAAAAAAATGTTATCTTTTGCCGAGAGAGAGTGAGAGTCAGCGAACGCTATGTAAAAATCGGCAGCATTTGTCTGCTACTAGTGAACTATATTTTACCATGATTTGTAAGTTGCTTTTTTCGAAAAAAACGTCATATTTGAAGCTTTTATAACTGTTTTATGTTTAAGATTAACTATACGGTAATCGTGTTATTTATCAAAAACAAGCAATAAGAGAGAAAGGAAGAAAAGGAAACGCAACAATTTATATATTGTCGGTAGACAGATAAAACATAGGCATCCATTAGTCCTTAATGAATGAATTACTTGCCAATCGATGATATGATTCGATTCGATATGCATATGCATATATGCGTAATTTTGTTGAACTTATATGTTCCGTTGCAAACGCCCCAATCTTTCAGTAGCTTTATTGCTATTTATTACTTAGCATATATTTTTAGGCTAACATAGATTCTTAGATGAATAACACAAAATTTACTGTCCGTTTAACAAATTTTTCCGCGTATATCTTTTCTTCGATACTATAATTAATCTGTCGCTTTCTCATGCACTTATTTGATTATAACGTTTTTGCAACAGTTTCGTATATAACATATACATATACAAATAACAAGCTGATAATAAAACTTAAATGAACTCTGTGCGTATACAGATATACTAGAGATATATCACGTCAACCAAACGTAAAATAAAGATCCGTTTTTAAATCAATTTCAATACATATTTATATTAGAACTTATCGTTTTGTTTAAATCAAAAATTAAAATCGTTTCTTTCACAATGGGGAACGTTTTAGAAGCCTATGCAAAAAAAAAAAAAAAAAAAATCTTTTAAATTTAACATTTAAAGTTTCAAATTCTGCAAATACCTTTTTATATATAAGGAATACTAGACATTACTTATGCATTACTACTATCATAATTATTATTGTTACTAATTGCACTATTATCTATATCTGTATTATCGGCCGTAGCTTCGTCTACAGCCGCTGAAGTGGTGACATAACCTTTTTTGTTACCTGGTAGTAAAGATGATACCGAGGATGATGATGGTGTCGACGATATAATTGACGTCTGTACTATTGGTGTGGGTGGGGATTTATTTGGGGGTAACTGATTGACTGGACCTGACATTTGCATGTGATACCTTAAAGTAGCAAGATTTAAATTAAATTAAAGATAACGACATAAAAAAAAAAAAATTTAATTTCTTACTTGTAAATATTTTCTGTAGACTCGACTACACCCTGAGTCAAGTTCAAGCTTCGTCCCTTAACGCCCGTTTCTTTGGGAGGCGGCGACCACCAATTAAACATTCTACCCACAACTGGGACATGTCGCAAGATTCCTTCTTGCCATAATTTTTCTTCAGTTTCTCGTCTTAAATCGGCTATAGCCGTTTCGATCCCCTTTAAATGTTATTAGCTTTGTTAAATTCTTTTAGGCAATTAATAATTAAGCAAATGAATTTACCTTTTTTACAATTTCGGACATTGTATCCAGTACACGAGAATTTTCTTGAACGTTTTTACCCACTGACACGACCAAGTCTAAGAGTTCTTCAACATCAGTTTCATGTGTTACCATACCGAATCGCACACAAATTAAGCCGTCGGAACCTTCGCCAAGAGAAAATGCATTATCTGTTGTCTTAAGAGCCTCAACTAGGTTCATGTTTAATTTGTTCAACTCAGTTTTGGCCTGATCTGTAAGTAAAGTCTCCCAACCTTCGGGCACGAATCGCACACCGCCCATACCAGCCCATTCCGGCAAATTTACTAAGCGCAACACTTCATTTTTCTCCACCAAATCTATAAAAGTGGCCTTATGTTTTATTGTAGCTCTTAATATATCCACATGTGACTCTAAATTTTCGGCGAATTGTTCAATATTCTCAGCAGTTGGCGGTTGTTCCCCTAATCTCAATTCAAGAGGACAATAGCGTATGCAGTTTCCATGAGTAGCGTGTTCCACTACTTCAAAATTAAACTGCAGCAAGTGCTGCGATTAGAAGATTGAATAATAATTTAATTGGTAAACTTACATTTGGGAAATCCCGTTGTAATATCTGTCCTAACCATGAATTTAAACGATCAAAATAGGAAGCATTATTATTTTTCTCAAAAGTTTTTGTTAGGTCCGGCCCTTTAGTGTCGTTTTCAGACGTCATGGCTGTAGATATATTAACACTGCCGTCAAACTGGAAAACTACTACCGGCGAAACCACATCAAACAGCAGCTGCGAATACGTACAGAATTTCATTAGATGCCACTTTGAAACAGTGAAACATAACTTACATTAATATCCAAAGGTTTATTAATAATCTCCGTGAGAGGGGTGCTCGATTGTGCACCTGGTGCCCTACTCTAAAATAAATTTTCAATCGGTTGCCTCTTAAAATATAATTAGATATAAGAAGAAACCTACCACAACCCTAACACCTTCACATTTAGAGGTGATTTCAAATAAAATACTGCAAGTCTGGAATGCAACGTGGATGCGACCTGATATCGAATCACGTCCTAAAGCTTGTAAACTTGTCCATAATGCGAGCGAATTAAGACGTTTCGATAAAATGTGATCAAATTCAACAGCACTCACATCGTTCTTCTGGTGGCGATGCATCAACTAAGACATTTCGACGTTAGTTAATTTTAAAAAATTTTTTATCCAACAACTTACAACGGTTGGTAAACTGGGAAGACCTAGCCAACTACCAAGATTCAAAATAAGTGAGTCTACCACAGAGCTTATCTGAAAATGAGTTCCGCTTTGAATGCGCATAATTTTCTAAACATTACAAATTACCAATCCCGGCCCTTGTGAACATGCAACAGAAGCTAAGCCATGACCGGTAGCATGCAGCCACATATTATAAGTATCGCAAATGTCTCGCATTCTTATTAAATTATCAACATAGCCGTACAAAGAATCTCCAATGTCAGCTACCACTAAAAGGGGCGTTCGTTGACCAGCTAAATCAATTTGAATTTGTTTTTGCAATACCGACAAATCCATTGTGCCAAAAGTGTTATTGGTGGAAATAAGGCGAATTGCATCTAATGGTATACCCAATTGCCGGCATGCATACTGCAAACGAACAGGCGTTGTATTCTCAGAGATATAAAAGCATGGATGTGCCAGAGCTGGTATACCGCCCTCAAGATAGCCCGGACAACGAGCAATTATTGCTAATCGTACAGTGCGTAGAGTTGCTTCTGTATTGTCATTATGAAAGCTACTGGAGGCATCAACAAAACGAAATAAAGCTCCTAACCAATGCGTGGTATCACCAGCAATTTTGGCCGTTATTCGCTTTAATTGGCTGCGATCTAAGTGCGATAGATACGCAACTATGCTGTGAGAAATCAATGCTAAATGAGAGACGTCATCCAAAGCCGGCAAAGGAAATTCTGAATCATCATCCGATTCGGTATAAGAAATAAGCAATTCCAATGATTTAAGAATTTCCGATGGCGCCTTACGGTCACCATGTAATACAGCAAGGGCTTTTTCTGAATTTACTGCAGTATCGGCTGTGGTATTAGCTAGAATGTGTGGACTTGCGTTACTATTAACTGCCATGGGAGTTGCTTTTACGCTTTCCAAACGCTGTAAAACTTGCGAAGTCTTTAGTTCCAACTCAGCTAAGCCGGATCGAATCTATTGCAATGACAAGATAATAAAATTAATTTGAAAATAAAACCAAAAAACGTTAACTAAATTGGAGGTCAGCACTTACACTGGATGCAGCTATCTCGTTTACACGGGCCTCTTTCTTGTCATCGATTACATTGGTGTCTTCATCACTCATATCTGACATCTTTGGTTACGATTTTGAACGACACCTTCAACGATCTACAATCTTTAATCCTCGATTTGCTCTGATGTTAACTGGTCTTAAATATATGAAAACATAGCACTTTCTAAACAAAACGGAAAACTTTTTACAAATTTATCTCAAAATCCCTTTCGGCAAAATTACATTTTTTTTTGTACTCAACACGTCAACTACAATATATTTCTAGGGTTGCCAAGTGCCGACAATTACATTTGTATCGCGAATGTGGTTACCTATCACAAAAAAAAAAAAAAAGAAAAAGACAAGAATTGTTGTGCACTGACCTACATATATGTACTTTACAATCAACTTGAAATACTCGGATATGTGAGAAGCAAAGTTATCTTTACTTATTTAAATTTCATCAGATAATCTTGAAAATTCCGCATACAGAGAATATCGGACGGACACAGGCGAAGAAACATCCACTGATTATCTTGTCGTAATCACATATGCATTTGCATTTCTCATATTAAGCCTTCAACGAATTCTGTTTGTGTTTGTGCAATGTACTAGTGTGTGTGTGTCTTCGGCACAATGGTATAAGCAACTTTTAATGTGTGCTTCCCCATACTCCTTCGATTACACATATTAAGATTATTTTTCGTTAAATATGAAGACTTTCACGTCGTGAAGGGAATATATATAGAATTGAGGAGTGTTTTATCCCAACAATGTTATGACATGGTAAGCATATACCGATTGAAAATAACTGATGCTCTTGGCGAATCACACACATGCTTCCTTCAAATCGCAGTTTGAATAATGTAGCGAAAAACATTGCATCGCAATCTCGCTCCAGAGACCTTCTTGCGAATTGAACCACGGTGTAAGCCCAATTCACTCCATTCTCAACATCTCCCTTCATTAAGATGGCTTACAGCTAATGTCATAGCATACATTTACCTGCTACACCTAAGAGAAAAATTTAATTGAAATTAAATTTTAATGTATACGCCCCAATTCCCCTTTCAGATATTACAACATTTAGGAAAATTTATACATTATCATATTGTATTTAAGTGTTTTGAAAACATGGCCATTTAAAAGACCTAATCGATAACAAAACTAGCTTATTACACAAATTAAAATTTGATATATGTTATTAATGTTATTAATGACTGTTGACAACATCAGCATCACTGGATTCACGTCCATAAGTGTAATTTAACTACTGCGACAAATTATGTAAAAAATTTATAAACGAAAATTTAAGGCGGCCGAAATCTTTATAGCGTTTAATAATTACAGATGACTCAGAATTATCCGTATGTATTGCTTAGTACTTGGTCGGCGGAAAATAGCTGGAGCGATTATAACGATAGGAACCGTAAGTGTTTAGGTTAGCGTTCACAGACGCTGCCAGCGGAGATGTTAACATGGAAGGTGTGGCTGGACTCTTGATGGCGAGATTTGGCTTTTCACATTGTTCAGCTTGATCTATATCGTCTGTGATCAGTTCTTCTTTTTGGGTATGTGCGATTGCACTTAAGGGGGACGGGGGCGATACATTGTCTGGAGATGCAACTAACGGCTTGGCAGTAGAAGTATTGGTATTAACGGCCGGGAAATGGCTGACGGATGGTTGTCGGCGCGATCGATTAACAGCTTCTCGAGTCGCTTCGAATTGAGCTGAAGAAGATTCCAGTTGATTATGGGTGCCGCCCGGTTTACCAGCTGAAGCTACTTTGGCATAATTAGCCGCATTGTAAATTTCACCAACTTGGTGCTGCGGTTGCGGTTTCGGAGTTGAACTTTCTTCAAGCGCGTTCGTTGAGGTTGGATTATCTATTCGCTGTTTAGATGATCGGGGAGAATTATCTATAAGACCCAACTTTTTCATACGTTGCCGTCTATGCTTCTCGTGCAACTCTGTGTTGTTGCGGTCATGAGGTGAAGTGAAATACTCTTTTGGTGGTGCTGGGTGACGAAATGGTACGGCCGGTATCGATTTTTTAATGAGGGCCCTATGTTCCGCTGATATATTTTCCCAAGCGGTTTGATCATAGGATGTACGCTTTTGGAGCGCTTTGTCAATCAATGTAATGTCACGAAATTGGTCAATGCTTGGAGGATGGTGCCACGCATTTAAACGATCTTTAACTGTAAAATGTGTTTCCTTTTTCGTGGATTTGGCTTTAGCGCCGGCCGACAATCGTCGTAGAACTGCTTTATCAACCACCATGAGATCGTTGAGCATCATAGAGCTAAATTTTTCAGCGTCTTGAACTGAGCCTAAGCGACCTTCCACATTTTGGTTGCGCGACTCTACCAGACTCTTGGTCAAGGTTCTGTCAAATTGACCAGTATTAAAAGAACGGAGCAAATAATTAATTGGGTAATGCCTTTGGCTATGACGATCGTCATGCCGCCTAAAGAGGCTTGTATGCGAACTACTAGCACTCGAACCAAAGCGACGTGACCCGTATATCTTGCAATTTGGCGATTTAAGCAATTTCTTGCCTGACCCAAGGTTTGCTACTGAGTTCTTCTTGATTTGCGTACTGTGCTTCTCTGCGGTTCCTAAAAGACTCAGAAGCTTCTCCTGTCTTTGGACGACCCTTTGTTTTTTAATTGGCTTCGGCTTGATTTCCGGAATCGTAATAGGTGCCTGATTCCTAAAGCTACGAACCGGACCCACGTTCTCTAACCTGACTGAAGCCATTTTGGTCTGTTTAAGACCTATAACACACAAATAACAACATAACCTCGCAAACCGTTTAAAATTTATTAAACTCAAGCTTACCATTCCTGAAATTGTTTGGTATCTGCTGATAGATATTCTTTATGCATGCATTAACAATTTCGGTAGAATTTTTTGAAAGCACCCACGGCTACATAATATATATTTCATCAATCACAATTCGTATAAGAGAATTTGCTATTTTTTTAACATACCTTTAAATTCAAATTGCTGCGCACAATTTTGTTGATATTGCTACTGGTCATTTTTTACTTAATTGCGGTTAATTTTTTTTGTTTTAAAAAATTACAAAATTATTATAAATACCACGAACGGAATACAATTTTCTAAATATGTGAATTTTTTAATGAGAAAACGAATTGAATTTGGATCGTTTTTTTTCCTTATAAAGTAAAAATGATGGGTAAATAAATTTTTTCGACAATAGCACAAATGTTTAATACGCAAAGTAGTTTTTTAGTAAAGTATAATTTTCATGAAAAGATACTTAATGGAACGCATAAAAGGTGCGAAACGTGGATTCCCATCGCCATATATGCGCTATCAATATTAATTTACCCATACGTATTTCCTTAGGTTAGTCGAAAAGTTTTTTGCGCTCAAATCACCTTAAGACGAATATTGAACATTTTCCATCTTATTTAGATAAGCATCTCAAAGGGCTCAGTTGCAGTTATCGGCTGTTTTTGACATTACTTCAATCTCTTAATAGTAGTAGTTGGTGCAATTGTGGAGAATTTTTTAACTAAATCGGCAAATATATATGTATGCTATGAATGTTTGTTTAAAATCAATCAATCAACTTTCGGCAACCGTGAGAAGAGCTCTGCTGGTAGTTGGCGAACGGATGAACATACAGACGAATATCGAAAATTATCGCAGGATTTCTTTGGAAATTTTCTTTCCTTTTATTGCTTTCTTAAAGTAAATTGTGTTTCTTTTTTTAAACTAAGCTGACTTTAAGGTATTTAGCTAAGATCTTCTTCTTGTGGATATTTAAAGATCGCATCAATTTGTGCACAAATAAAATGACCTAGGACCACATCCATCAATGCGGGATACAAAAGTACTCAAATTTTTAGAACTCGAATTAAATAAATGGAAACATCAGTTTGCGTTTAACTAACCTGCGATACATAGTAACAGCACTCGATAATTATCGTGAAAAATTCAGACATAATGGAAAGGAAGGAAGATAATGATACGAAAACGTACGAAAATACCAAATCCAAGCGGCCAAGCATAGAAGAGTTAAAAATTGAAGTTTATATCGCTTATGCTCATACATACAATTTTTTTTAAGGAAGCGCACGCACTCACGCCTAGATCTGTGCAATACATTTTACTATCATTTATAGCTCGTAGCATTGCACAAACATGCCAGGCATGCATGGAAGGACAGCTTCCTCATAATCATCTTTTTAAGAAAAGTAATGAGGATGCGGTTTTTTGTTATGTTTATGACGTTAGTTAACTCTTTCATCTTCACTTCTCGATTGTCGTGAGTATTTCTCAGGGTAGGCATAATCCTTGTGAGCCTAATTGGTTTACGAACTTCTCGATAAATTATTGTGACAAAAGTGTTGCCATAATATTTATCAACCTCTTTCCCGACTAAGATTATGATTATGTGTACACCGTGTTTTTGTGCCATATATGTTATCTTGTAATAAAAAAAAAAGTTAATAGTTAATAACATTGAAGAATGTATTCTCCTTTCTTCTCTCATCTTTTATACGTAAATTGATGCTGATTTAATTAGTCTTTCTTAGACTTTTTCTCTTTTACAATTAACCTCTTATTAGTCATCCTGTTATTGATTTATTTATTTACATACTTTCAGGATTGCAATTTATTTTCGCAGTCCCTGCTAATCCATAATAACAATCACGGTATGTATATTCAAATCTTTTTCTGATCGCTCCATATCATGTTCGCGGTGTGCATTGAAACCGGTTTTGGGATTTTGAGACCTGCTGTGGATGCAATCAGCGACCACAATAAAGAAGCCAGTTAGACTTCTCTTAATTGCGAAACAAATGATTTCATCGCGAGTATAATATCATGTCCCGAACGGAACAAGATTTTCTCGTAATCTCTAAGCATTTTTGAATTATGTAACGGTCGAGGTCTCAAAACGGTTTCAAAAGTGATGAAGCGAGAGACTTGGCTACTCGACACGTATCTTATCATGATATAGTCTTTGGTAGTTCATCATATGTTTAGTTATTGGTCTCATTACCGTCCATTTCTACAACTAGAACTGAAATACTCTCTGACTTCACTGTACCTATCTTCTCCCTATCCCATAATCAACCCTTTCGCTCCTAATCTCTTCGGTTAATCTTTACTAACAATTCGTTTTCAGCTTTTGTTTCCCAAACCTCTTACTATGCACCTGTACTGCAATAGCCTGTTTTCCAATTTTCGTGCAAGCTCCTCCCTAGGACTGAGACCACTTTTTCGTAGTCCCTAATTGTTCAAATGTCTATTTCCTCAAATGTAGGCACTACCCTTTATCGAATCGTTAGGGCTGTGAAGTGTCGATTGGGTCCGCATTGTCAAATAGCATTGACATAGCTACGACTCTACCTATAAAATCGGTAAGCAAATTAGTTGTGGTAGAGCCTAGAAAGTCAACATTTATATCTCTTTTGGCTGCGGATACTTCTACTAATGGTATAGAGATTTCTTTAGATTCGAAATCATGAAAAGTTGTCTTAGGCATTGTCTTTATGTGTCTTTATGTCTACTGAATTGATCGGTAGAATTAATGCACCGGTCTTATTAAGCAAAATTAATAATTAACGCACCTTGTCGTGCAACTAGCGCATGTCCTCAACATTAACTAATGTAGGCGTAACTAAGGGCTATTTAATCTCTTCGTGTGCTTTGTAATAACAACTTTATTAGGGCTTATCCCTTAATTTCTACGTCGAGATCAAATAATATAATAAACGGTTGCTGAACTTTGCTTGGTTTTGCCGAGCACTCGCGCTCATAAAACCTCATGATTACAGGTTGTGGGCGTACACATATTTTTAGGCGTAAAAGATTTTCTTTTTGTTTTTTCTTTCTTTCCCCCTTTCAGTTTTCATCTTTTATTTATATACAGTACACGATTTGTGGCACAAGGGTATACTAAGTTTTCACAGAAGTATGCAACACATAGAAGGACTTAAGATAGACTCACCTTTCGATTCAAAATCATTTCCAGAATTATTCCGGGAATTCAGAATTATTCTGGGGATCTAAGTTTGTCTGTCCATCTGGTATTTTTGTCTTCATTCTATTGATCGCGATTTTTAAGATATCTGGATGAAATTTGGTTCACTAACGTTTTTCGTCCCAAGGACGAATGCTATTGAAAATGGTTCGGATCGAATCATTTCTTCGACCACTGCCCATATAAGGTCTTATCTTGAAAAGTTCTTGTATGAATAACTGTAGGTTAGTGTACGGTATTTAACGGTGAGCTGTCGCCCACTACAGTGCTTTTAGTTGCCTTATTTATATCACATATGTTTAATTTCACGGTTTTTTTTTTTTTTATTTTCTATTTTTCTAATTTAGTTTACTTTAAAATATTTACGATATAAGCTTTACGCTTTAAATCTAAGATTAGCTTGTACTCGGTTGATAGCTGATTGCAGCTGAGTTTTACATATGTATAAATAAATAAATAAATAAATAAATATGTAAATAAATAAACACTTTCCAAATCAATTCTGAGCTTCAACATCGTTTTTCTCGTCAAAAAACAATGCGTAATCAACACAAGAAATTCGATCTTTTCCATTGTTTTGAACGCAACAAAAGCAACGTAACGTTGCTCAAATCGCTTTAACTCGTAAGCAAATATTCGTAATGACATCTAATTCTGATAGGCATCGCCTAAGGCTTGGCGCTTAGTCCAATGACCTCTTGCCGCGATCGCAGATTTCACATAGATGAATCGCTCATCACCGATCATAAGGCCAATGTATGCTTTTGCCTATTCGTCTTTCTTTATCCATTTGCTGTCTGGCACTGCTGCCATCGTGCATTTATAGCTATGATAGTTACATACAATTTCTCCTTTTGGTTCTCTTTTATGGAGGTCATCGATGATATTTAAGAGGGCTGGGTCTCAGTTGCGAGTTTACTGTGTGATGACAAACTGGGAAGCATTATTTCCTGGAGAAAGGATAGTGTTTGGATAGATTTCCGGGATGTGTGACGTAGTCCAAAAGGCCGAGTGGTTCTAGCTGCTTGCAGTAGGAGATCACCTAAAGCTGTATTCTGTGGCGTAAGTTCTGTAATACAACGATAAGTCATGAAGTTAAACGGTATCCCCAGTGGTCAGGATGTCCAAAAATAGGATTGCTCCTGGTACGAAGATGCGCTACTCATCTGATTGTCGGGGTGAAGGCCTTCGTACCTGATTGTTGGGTATGGCCCGTCGGATAGTATCGTGGTAGCTGTGGTTACCCCCCAAGTTTCGTGGGGAATTATCCAAAAGGTGTTTAGATAGGTCTCGCTCACATCCACACTCTATTTTGTGGCTTCAAAGTAGCAGAGCGCGCTTCAATGGAGATAGTCCAATTCCGTGCCGTGGGGTTAGGCCCCCGGAGGATCGGTGTAATTTCGGCGGTAATCTCAACGATTGGAGCTCTGCTAAAATATAAAAACATATATGAGTTGCCCACCAGTCAAGTCGTTTAAGAGGATTACTCCGCATTATTAGTCACTCATCTTAGAGGTGCTTGTATACCGTTCAGCACATTACAGCGATTCCTTGTCATTTTGATCTCATTGTCCGCTTTTAGAATTACTTATACGTAATGGTCTTTTCCACTTTTAAAGACGCTCTCGCTTTCAAATCAAAATTACATTCACACCACCCCCTCATTTCACTGCCTTATCTATAATCGTACTTAACCACCACAGTTCCTTCCCCCCGGTATATAGACAGGTTTTTCTGAGCGCCTGCTCAAATATAAAAAAAAAAAAAAAAAGAATGTAAAAATATAAAGTGCACGCATGCACATATTTTTGAATAGATGATATTTTAAATGGATTTGATAAAATAACGTTTTTTTGCAAGTTTTAAAAAATGTTTACAATAGTTGAAAAAGTTTTCAAAAAAAATTGCAAATAATTTTATAAATTTTAATAATTTAAATTCTGTTCAAAATTTTTAACAAATCTCGATAAGCGTTATTTAAAAGTCCGGTGCAATAATGAGCGACTTAATAGACCGATT